TCTCGAACACGACGCGAATTTCGGAATCTTATCAACATATTTATTTGGAAAATCGCGAATTTCGCAAATTTAGACGACGTTCGAACCGGAAAGTACGCGAAAGCGCAAAAATTTATTCATAATAATCCTGGACCGCCGACCGTAGCGAGGCGGGTTTAGCGTGGCCGGGTTTCGCTCGCATATCCGACGCGGTCGACGGGCGAATGTGAGTCACGATCCCGTTTGCGTTCTCCGCAGACACGCCCGGAAGTACGAGCTGCAAAAATACAACCGTTTTCGCGAGACGCGCGGGCGCCGTTTACCCCTCCCCCGGCAGGCGGAAAAGGTGTGTAAGACTCCTCCTTTTTGCTGCTCGCGGCGCTTGGCGAATAATTTGATTCTATACGGGATGCATCAGCATAATTATGAGCCACTTCATAGTCGAGTAACATTCTCGGCGGCAATTAGCCGTTGTTGACAAACGCAATTTGCGAGATGTAACTTTATGGGATAGGCAGACAGAGAAGAGAAGCGCGGGCGTCTCTCGCAAAGTCACTGACGTTCCCCGAACACATCGACAAACCGTGTGCTGCCGTCGCGTCGCTTCCGGAGTGGTCGTCTTCCGTTCCCCGTCGGCCCGGCGTAGCGTGGCCCGCTTGTTCGCCAACACGAGGCTCGGCTGCGTGCCGACAAAGTGTTTCGGAGAGAAAATGGGAACGACGTTATGACCCTTTGTCTCTCGATATCAAACCGCATCCTCACGCTGCCTTGATCACGAAAGTTTTCGAAATAATCAGGTGGGTAACATAACGCGATGTTAAATGCAATTAGACTGCTGAGGGGGAGAGAGAGAGAGAGAGAAATATGTACATACCAACTATGTACATACCACTGCCAACTCGTAATTCTTAAGTATCGATTAATCATTGCATTTCGATTTGATATCAAATTTATAAGACATAAGTTATAAGATATGTTATAAGATATATGATATAAAATAAATTAGATAATATGATGTTGATAAAAAAAGCGATGCTTAAGTAAAAAAATTGGCATTTTTGAGACAGGAAAAGGAACAGGTGACCCTAAAACTTTCGGTAATATGTATTAGATAAATACGATAAATTCGAACATATATATTAAACATCTTTTTTGCAAAAATTAATTAATGTTATACGTATCATTAATTTATCTAGTTTTTGGGAAACTTCCCGTTCCCAGTTTAATGTTGTGGACACAAGAGTTTCGAGCGATTGAAATCTCTCTCTCTCTCTCTCTCTCCTCCGAATAAGCTGCAAATTGAGATACAGTTATTAGCAATATGAAAGTTTCTTTCTCGTTTCCTTCTTTGCTCGTTACTTGGCAATAACCCTTCTGGCGGTATGCCACTAACTACCTCGATAGAGATTTCACGTCTTTATATAGGCTAAGTCCGGTTGGCTTGCGCGATGATTTACGTGTACTCCCCTAATCCGCGGGGTATATATTCCGCGCGTTATTAAATACCACGCGCGTTTCGAAAGTTTCCAACCGCTTGTCTTGAAAATTACAGGTCGGAATTATTATACGCTTAGAACCTCTCGCCCACAGCATCCACCTTACACGCTTCGCTCGGCAAATTACGTAAATACAGTATACCGTGGTACACTGCGCTCGGATACACGTCCGAAAACGGAGTAGTGGACTCCTCGGACACACAGACCGCTGACTGAAATACCGCTGGCGGACAATATTCGGCCGGCAGGGGTTTGCGCGTACGTGAGGACAGACGCGAGACAGAAACGTGGAAGGCGCTCAGCGAGGCGGCAGCGGGAGGTAAGCGACAAGAGAGCGGACAAGAGCGTGCGACAGAGAGAGAGAGAGAGAGAGAGAGAGAGAGAGAGAAGAGGGGGCAGGGGAATGGTGGAAAAGCAACGGAGGACCACTGTCGTCACACAGAAGTTCGGGGCTACAATGGCAGTGCGTCTTCTGGCGCCCTGGAGTCTCCCGACACGCCTTCCAGCAGCACGAGTGCCGCAAGAACTCGCGACCGTATCTGGTGGCGCACGGCGTTCTTCCGTACGCCCGCGTTATTGCAATCCACACCTCCGCCTAGGAGCATTATTCACCTCGCGTGAGATTTCCCTCGCCCGGGGTTTCCGCACGCGGAAGCGAGAGAGCGATTACGATTGGCCGCGCGCGTTCACGCCTGTGTTTATATCTAGGCCGCGCATCGAGAACGGCGCAACGTCGCGCACACCGCCGCCGCCGCAAAATATAATCTACGATTAATACATTCATTATCGCGTATATGGAAACGAGTAACGCGCGCGCGTTTGGCGAAATGGAATCAAATTTTGAATTGTTTCGCCGTCGATGATATCGCCCGTCGTTGTATCATATTGAAATACAATATACACGTATATTTCGCCATGCCGCGCATTATGCTGTGGAATATTTACGGCCGGCTGCTCGATCGCGAATCAATGTTAACCGTATCAATGTTAAGCCGTAATCCGTGATTTTAATGGTTAACACCGTAACCATGATTTTAACGATTATATGTATATATATATATATATATATATATATATATGCGATATGCATTGTACACTTTAATGCGCGAACCGTGAGAAGGAGCATAATGCGCAGTGACTTCATTCGGATGTCAAAGGGAAAACAGAACCACCGCCGCGCGCGTGTGTTTTATCGCACCGCACGGCACTGCGAGCCGGGCGGGTAATGCGCGGCTCTGCGCAGCCGGAAGCTATTAGAGTCGAAATAATGTCAATATCGATGGAGATAATATCGCGAAAGAGGTTAAAAGGAAAAATCAAACGCGCCCGCTGATATTTTCCTCCCAAATGTTTGCGCAACTTATATACCCGTTATTGTGTGAACATCAATCAGTGGCTCGGAGCCCCGCAATTCATTATATCGCGATTATGTTTTATGGAATGAATAATTAAGGACCCCGAGACCTGAAAATATCTTCCGTCCATCATATGTCAATGAAAATCGTATTTCCTTTACAGGTTTATTAATCACACTCTCTAGCACAAAATCCATTAAACTATTCCCGATATAGCTAATCGATATTTCACGTGATCAATTATCTTTATCGTTTATTCCACGATAAAGGCGAATGGATTGACTGAATATGTATGAACTTCCAAATTGCGCTTACGTAACAGTCAAACTAATATCTGCAGTCAATAGGATGAAAAGTTACATGTGCAATATCATGTATTTGGTGTTGCATAATATATCTTTAATATCGATATTCGCAAACACGTTAGAAAATATTGTATGTACACTAAATTGTTAATTACATTAAATCAACAAAATTTATCATAACTGTCAGCCACTTTTATCATTTGTTGATTTTGAGCACGAAAAATATAATAAACGTATGTATAATATATCTTAAACGTTAATTTGTATATTTTTTTAAATCTAAATCCTTATCAATTTTCCATTTTATATAATAATAATGATTACAATAATACTGTAATAATAATTACGATAATACTATTATTATTGCGCGGTAGAATTTTTTATAAAATAAAATTTATCATAAAATAAAATTCAGGCATGTTACACAACTACACATCTTGTCGTGTAAGAGAAATGGAATGCGGAAATATTAAAAGAGTTCTTATAGTAAACGTGTAGTTAACGAGCGCTATAGAAGGATGCTAATTGTATTAAAAAATTATTTTAAGATGTCAATTTAATTCGTGACATTACTATCCCAGATTAGGATTGCGTTTCAAGAACGAAAATTAAATCAGCGCTCAATTTACGGAACTGAATATGTATATAAATTCATGCTGAAATATTATTAAGCACTAAGATCTAGCTGAGATAAAATAAGGCATTTTACTACTTAAAATTAGTTGCTTATCTTAGAGTTCTTTTTTAAGGTTTAAATACATGAAAGGTCAATCCTAATTAAAAGCAAATTGTAGCTTTTAGCTTTTATGTATGTTTGTCTGGAGACGGAATGAAATTAATTTTACTTAGAGACTTTAATCCCTCCCTCTAGATCGCCGTTACATCTGGTCGTTTAAGCCCGAAACTTATGTTAACTTGTATCATGTCAATCCTCGAGGGAATTCTCTACTCTTCACTACACAGATAAAGAAGAAATATCGAGTTTTTTTCGAAAATAATGTAAGGATTTCTAGCAAATGTTTTAATTACTCTTCATTTTGTTGAACAATGTTACTCGGCGCGCCAGCACCGCTGGATAGAGAGATAATTACTCATGTAATTTTAACTCAATTTCCAACAGCCTGGACTCATCTACTAAACTCAATTTATGTTTTCCATTCTCTTTCCATGCGAAATTATACCATGTACAGTTACGTACTTGCGTTTGTTTCCAAATTTAGCGCCCGTATGCATCGTGAGAGAGAGAGAGAGAGAGAGAGAGAGAGAGAGAGAGAGAGAGAGAGAGAGGAGAGAGAGAGAGAGAGGGAGAGAGAGAGGCGGGCGGGAGCATTACAGTTTTAATAAATTCTTTTATAAGTCGCGTGAGAGACTTTATTTATCGTCGGCTTTCGAACCTCCCCGAATCCTCCGACCACATATTACGATCGCGACCGGCCATAAATCGGGCGCAAGCCAACCAACTCTCGGCGTCGACGAAGTGATATTATTCTTGCGTTCATATCTTCCGTCCTCAGGGCTCATGCCAAAAGACATACCCCAAGTACCCGGAGAGATGAGCGTGCCACAGGTTGTGAGCGACCTCGAAAGTGCAGCGGCTGCTGCGACGCGTAGAGGGTAGAGGGATAATTAATCGTCACCTATTGATAAGAGATAAGTGAGTGGGATTAAGACGGAGCACACGGGGGTGAGAGGGTGGGTGGGGTGTGGGGGAGGGGGGAAAGGTGGCTCAAGAGTCGACGGAAGCCCGAGAGTAGCGGAGGCGTCTGCGCGTGGCGGGAAAACGAGAGGGGATGATGTAGGGGTAGGTAGAGAAACACGCTCTTCGGCACGACCCTCAGTCGGGATGCCGGTCGCGCACCCTCTCGTTCATCCGGTACCGCGATGATCGGTGAGCGACGTGTCCAACGTGTCCCGGGAACCGCGCGAGGCCGACTCCGGCTGTTGACTGGCGCCGTGCTGCTGTCCACTATCGCGGGAAGTGCATGGACAGAAAACCCCGTCTCCACATCCGGTGAGTGATCGAACATGGGGGACGACATCGTAACGCGCGTTGCGCGAACCGCCGCGCCGCGTTGCATTTATTATCGGTTCTCGCCACGTTTATGAGGCATCGAAATGGCTATCGATAAGTGCCTCTGAACACCGCGTTTAATCCCACGATCTGGTTCGGCAACCGTGTCGATTATAAATCGCGCCCGGAGTATATCCGCACTTCTCTCAGCGACGGAGAGTTTCATTTCCCCGCGCGCGCGCGCGTCCGCGAGTGTTAAATTCACCGTCGCGGCGCTAATTGAATCCCTCGTATACGTACCGTCGGCCACCCGCCGAGAGCAGTAGGAATTTTGTTACCCGCAAAAGCACTCCCTACCCTCTCCGTTTCGCGTGTGCGGGAAGTTTAACGAGTTTCGGTGCTGCTGTCGTCGTCGTCGTCGTTCTCGTCGTCGTCGTCGTCACCGCTGCCGCCACCGCCGTCACCGTCGTCGTCGCCGCGACGGTCGGACGCGCGGCGAGAGGATTGTTCCTCTCTTGTTTCCAACCAAGAGCAACGCGCGGCGCGGGGGCTAGGCTAGTGCTATAGTATTCCACGTAGCGCGAATTTGTGGTGCGTGTCTCTTATACTCTGCGAATGTGGGGGCTCTCTCGTGCGCGAGAGAGTTTGGTCGGCTCGCGTGGGGAGTAATTCGAGACGTCTATGCAATAGCTTCTGAAGCACGGCGCGGAATGAAGTCGTCGAGGATAACTGGGAAGTATAAGCGAGCGATGCATACTAGTTCGCTCGTATCTATCCTGCTCATTATTCCGAATATCCGAGAATATCTTCGTATTTGCTTCGACAAATAGCAAATAGATTTGAGCCCCGTTCTCCAAATGCAACGCTCTCTTGAATATCGACTAATAATTTTCTAAATATCAAGTATAAATAATGAGTTCAAAAACCGATATAATCTTCACGCGTTTGCACCGCATAATTATATGCTTTTTGTGATTTCTTTTATATAGAAAGGTAAGCATGTAACGAGAATTTTTTTCTTCAATTTTTCTTTACCAACAAAGAAATTTCAAGAATACGCGATTGTGTAGGTATGGAACAAGTGCATAACGAGATAACGAGCTTCGGCCAAATTCTCGCAGGCGTTCTACGATAACGCAGAAAGACTCCGCGAGTGACATGGCGGCCTTAAATGAGATTTACTTTTATAATAAATTATATTATGAAATATGATGATACGCTAAGAAAAAGTTAAGACGCAACTTTATAATTCCCTAATTAATCTTTTTGTGTGCGAATGCTGGTACTGCAAGATGTCGTTGTCACAGTCACAAAGAAATGTATCTATTCATCGCACAAAACAGGAAACTATTATTATTTATTAGAAAAATGTAGATTTATGCTATTATTTGCAAATAACATCAATAAAAAATTGTATTTATGTAAAAAAATTTCTTTTTTCTTTTCAAAATTCTTTCTTAAATAATTTTTAATTCTTCACTAGATTTTAATCATATCTACCAATGTATATGTTTTCATTATTTTTCGAGAAGATATATCACGTAAATTTTACTTTTATATATGTGCAAATTAATGTGAACAAGAGACAGCTTTTTTAGATTTATAAACATTTATCATATAAAAAAAATTTACAGTAAAAAGATTTATTACAGTATTTTTTTAGTATTTAATACTTCAGGCTTCAAAAAAATATTGTAATAGACACTGTAAATCCTTTTTATGCAATAAATGTATAGAAATCTAAAAATTATCTCTCCTTCGCATAATAATTTGTTTATTTGCACAAGACTGTATGTGCAAAATTACTATGTTACACACAACGAGATATCCTTCTGTTTGTTCTAACTGCTTTTAGTTAGACAAGTTTGTTTGCTCTTATAGAGCAACAAACAATTAATTATACTGTGATACTACATCAAATGAAATTAGGATTTCACATTTCCGGATATATATTATTCGCGCTTTAATGATTTCGACGAAATTACGCGATATGTTTGTCATAATTAGGTTGTAACCCGCATGTAGAGGAATATATGAAGCCCTTGAGCTGATTGCTATTCACCATATTGATACAAGATTACTCTATATGAACCAGTTTGGTATATGAAAATGACGTTTTACTACTAAGCACATTGCAAGTTTAATAAATTTTCACGGAAATATTTAAAAACTCCCATCGCGCCTCCGTGTTATCACGTTTTTATTTACGAACGAGCCAAAAACACATTCTCTCAGGCATATTACCTTTGTGCGTTTCGTACAAATATTTGTAGCACTTCAGAATTTCGCAATGCGAATATTTGAGCAATTCTTATAATTGCGTACACGATTTTAGGATTCGAGTGAAAGAACGATTTTACAAAGTGAATGAATTTCGTCGAACATTTTACGTTCGTCGCGATCGCATTTAATCCGCAGCGCAATTTTGCTTTACTTTTTCTCCAACTCGCGTCGTCATGTCTATACGTCATAATTTCCGATGTAAAATAAACGCTCTGCGTTCGGAAAATTGGTTATACACTCGTAACTGCCAAATGCGATTCGAGCACCAACGATTTCGGGCGATTACGCGGGACACCACGATATAATTTGGTTTCGCAGATGCGGGATGAATATGAAATTCCTGAGGTAGCACTACCTCGTCTGACTAATTTCACTCATACATTCTGCGCATCGTTGCAATGTCGGTAGAAAATAGGTACCGAATGCGCACATCGCCAACTGCGTCGCTTCCGCGAGAAAATCGTAAAAGTGTTGCTATCTTCTGTAGAAAGAAATTAATTAAATCCGATTTAGATTATTCTGATCCGATTCATTAGACTCCGATACGAAGTTGGTTTGCGAGTATTGACTTTTTCGAGATTACTTGAACCGGAATTTTCCGAAATTCGCGCGATACAATGCGCGACAGGTTTAAAAAAAAAATTAGAAAGTTGTAACTGCTATTGATCTACGGGAGATTCTCTTGTTTCATGCTAACAATGGGTTGCATAGCAACGTTTTCACATGAGTCAGATCGAATTACTGTTGTCTGGCGTGAAGTATAACTTTCTGCTGAATCATCATTGTATAAAATATCACGTGTATATGTGATCGAGTGCTTTTTTTTCTACATGCAACACACCGAATTTCGACGTGTAACACTTGCCGCCCTGCGCACGTCGGAATTAATGTCGGTTAATTTTATAATTAAGCCAAGCTGCTGATTTATACAATTAGTAGATTTGGATGCGCACGGTTTAATTGAAAGCATTAACGTGCACTGTATGCTATCATAATGCCACGATAATGTCTTTCCAGCCATGTGTGCCGAACCAAAAATATCATTTGAGGTTTACACAAAGCCCTGTCCCCATAATAACTCCAGTTAATTAATTATACTGGCATTATACGAAGTTTATCCGTGAAATAAAGTTTAATCTGACCGAGATAATGTTAAAGCCGTCATAGCCGCGCTTCTTACTTTTATCCGTCCTAAAAAATATCGAAACTGCCGGTTCCATATTATGAAAATGGGTCACTGAATTTGATCGCCTGAATACCATCAGCCCACGCCAGGACATTTAAGAAGTTTCAGTTCTACAGAGAGACGTACGCCGCCGCACTTTTTAATAGGATTTACAAAACTGGGTTAAAATCAACTTCGCGCTTCACTCATTTTCTCAAAGGTGCCCCCCCCCCTCCCCAAAACAATGCGAGTATGGCCGTATCGTCCTCGACAGACGGCTGTAAAAGCTTTCGGTAATTAAGTGCCGCGCTACTTATCAGCTTTGAAAAGACCTTCCCCGATTAAAGGTCGTTACGCTTATCTTTTTGCGCGCGATGCCTCGATATTAAAGCCATCAATTACGCTGATAAACCTTCATTTATATACGCAAAAAAAGTTAAAAGTATTATTTTCTAAGGTACGATATAGTATAAAGTGCGTTTCGTAATACAGATTTTTGACTGCTGTGTCCGCTGTTAAGGTCGACTAAACCATTCTACGTTAAACTATAATATCAAGGTGCATGCGATCGTAGTACACCCCGCTTGTTTTACTGCCTTCTTGTGAATGTAATAAAAAATTTTCAGTACAGAATATCTAAGTAAAAAGGATGTTTGAAGCGGCACCAGTTATGACGGTACTCGGCCAGTCGTAAAAGAAGGGGTCTCACGAGCGGTGGCGGTGAATGTAAATGGAAATAAGCTCGAGGGAGGGCACTGAATCTTGTGGCGAAACGATAATCTAACCGAGTAGCAGATTCTCGAGACGGGAGACTTACGCTTGTAATATCTTGTCCCCCGGAAAGTATGATTTATTTATTTGTATCGTATCTCCCCGTGCGTTTTGCCCTGCATTGCGTATTTCATTCGCGAGGATATCATCAGCAGAAGCAATCGCGAGGAACTAAACCCACTGCGCGTGTGTTAAACATACCGACGAGAAAAGTTTAATTTTCAATGCAATTTTCAATCGATGATATCTCATTTAAATCACCGACCGAAAAATAAATTTCGACATTTCTACTTCGTGGGAAACAGAAGAGCGAAGTGAAAGAAGCCGCGGAAATTGAATAGATAAATTCATTTAGAGAATATAAGAAAGTAAATCCCGGTGCATTTCGAAGTGAAATAGCAGATGTAGAAATCTCCGCGCAGCGCCACGAGGATAGCTTCGCGCGCGGGAGCGCGCGTTAGTAGATTTAAGTATCTTCAAGTGTAAATCTTAGGGGGTATATGGAAGAAAAGACAGGAGAGGTAAATGCGCGGGGGCTCCTGTCGATTTATCTTCGGTAAGAAGGGAACGCTCTCAAAGTAAATGCCGGCTGTAAATCAGCTGGCATTTTCTTTGGCCACGTGCAACAAAAGCATGCGTGTGATGTATGCACGGACTGTATATAACTTGCGTCTCAGTGGCGTAGAAACGGCGGGGCGGGGGAGAGGCGGCGAGTGGAGGGGAGGGAGGGGCAGTCAGTCGAGGTAACGAGGGTATGCACTCAACGCGGAACGTCCACTAA